GGGTATTTCAACTCGTTGACCGCGCAAGCTTTGAAGCTGAAATTTTGCCAGTGTGTTCCCCAGCCAAGTACCACACCAGGACCGCAGTTTCAACCCCCACGCACATCTGGGCCACGCGTACGAGCACGTGAAAGCTTTGGCGCGAAAATCGCTAACTCGGGAACGAGAAAAGCTGGAAAGCTGAAACCTTGGGAGAATGCTCCCCACCCGTACATGACAAAAACATTTCAAATTCAGCTGCCCAGGACTGCCCGGGGCTCACGTACGGGCACGTGGAAATTCTGGCGCGAATATCACTAACTCGGGAACGGGAAAAGCTAGAAAGCTGAAACTTTAAGGGAATGTTCCCTACTCATACACGAGCAAAATCAGATGTTTAGAAGCGCCCGAGCCTACTTACGAGCGCGTGAGAATTTTGGCGCGAAAATCGCTAACCCAGGAACGGGAAAAGCTAGGGAGCTGGAACTTTCAGTGGATGTTTCCTACTTATGTACAGCCAAGACCAGGTGTTTGGAAGCATCTGGGACTCAAGTACGGGCACGTGGAAATTTTGGCGCGAAAATTACTAACGCAGGAACAGTAAAAGCTAGAAAGCTAAAACTTTAGGAGAAGGTTTCTTACTCACATACGAGCAAAATCAGGTGTTTAGAAGCGTCCGAGCCTAGGTATGGGCATGTGAAAATTTTGGTGCGAAAACTACTAACCCAGGAACGGGAAAAGCTAGAAAGCTGAAAATTTAAGGAAATGTTCCCTACTCATGCACGAGCAAAATCAGGTATTTAGAAGCGCCCGAGCCTACGTACGAGCGCGTGGAAATTTCCCCGCGAAAATCACTAACCCAGGAACGGGAAAAGCTAGAAAGCTAAAACTTTAAGGGAATGTTCCCCACTCATACACGAGCAAAATCAGGTGTTTAGAAGCGCCCGAGCCTACTTACGAGCGCGTGAGAATTTTGGCGCGAAAATCGCTAACCCAGGAACGGGAAAAGCTAGGGAGCTGGAACTTTCAGTGGATGTTTCCTACTTATGTACAGCCAAGACCAGGTGTTTGGAAGCATCTGGGACTCAAGTACGGGCACGTGGAAATTTTGGCGCGAAAATTACTAACGCAGGAACAGTAAAAGCTAGAAAGCTAAAACTTTAGGAGAAGGTTTCTTACTCACATACGAGCAAAATCAGGTGTTTAGAAGCGTCCGAGCCTAGGTATGGGCATGTGAAAATTTTGGTGCGAAAACTACTAACCCAGGAACGGGAAAAGCTAGAAAGCTGAAAATTTAAGGAAATGTTCCCTACTCATGCACGAGCAAAATCAGGTATTTAGAAGCGCCCGAGCCTACGTACGAGCGCGTGAAAATTTTGGCGCGAAAATCACTAACCCAGGAACGAAAAAAGCTAGAAAGCTGAAACTTCACGGCTATGTTCCCTACCCATGCATGACCAAAAAATTTTAAATTCAGCTCCTTAAAACCGTCCGGTACTCACGTACGGACACGTGAAAATTTTGATGAGAAAAATGCTAATTCGGGAACGGGAAAAGTTGAAGGCTTTAATTTTAAGGATATGTTCCCTGCTCATGTGCGACTAAAAAATTTTAAATTTAACTTTCTAGTGTGGCCTTTTTTTGCTGACCAGCAACTTTCCTTTTGTCGGGTCACTGAAGTCGACAACTACAACTGACATACCACAGAGTTGCACAATCAACTTCCCAAACTTCGAGAGCCAGTATTTCACAGGGTTAGCTACTTTGATTCCTTGCGATCTTGCTACGGCAGGAAAAGTGCAAAAATGCATAATCGCACCGGCCCGCCTGGTGCGTTTCAGCCTGGGTTTGGGTGTTCTAGCCTCGCCGTGGCATGGGCGCTGGATGCTGCAGATGGTGTGGTAGTGAAGAGGGGCTTTGTGTGCGGGTTGATTAGTAACGCGGTGTGGTCACGTAGGGCGGAAAGGAGGATTCGAGGTAGGGAAAGAGGATTGGGGTTGGTTGGTGAAAGGGCCACGTGGCGTAGATCGCTTGGCAGTTGCCTAGGCCGCGTAAGAGAGGAGAAAGGGTGACGGGTGGAAAAAGCAAGAGAAAAGTAAAAGCAAGAAAAAAAGTAAAAGCACGAAAACCAAATGAAAAACCGCCTTCAGTAGGGGACTTCTTAATCTATAAAGCTGAAAGCGAATAAAGTGAAGCTAATGCTTAGGTGAAACTGAAACACTGAATAGCTCATGGCTTGGGTAAAGCTGAGAGCTTCCAGCTTTACGTGAGTATCCACTTCATAAATCGGGGCTTTAAACAAATGAAAAAACCAGTTAATAGCAAAGGACTTCCCCATTTATGAAGCTGATGCTTAGATAAAGCTGAAGGATCACATAACTCATGCTTGGGTGAAACTGAGAGGTCTTACCTAGGCATGAGCTTCCTTCCACATTTGTATTCAGGCA